ATAAAGCAACAGAAAGGGCACAGACGCGTAAAAATAAGAAAGTAGATAACATTATAAGATAGGTAGATAACATTATAGATAAGTAGATAACATTATACCAATCCTAAGACATATTAATTTATATATTATAACATCCTAAGACATATTAATCAATAGACTATAATGTCCTAAGACATATTAATATTGTATAAGCGGTTTGTCTTAGGACGCATTAATATATTAATATATTAATGCGTCCTAAGACAAACCGCTGCATTCATTATATGATTTAAGAATTAAATTAAAATTATTGTTTAAAAAAATATGATAATGTAAACGGATCTATAAAGTGATCTGTAAAATCGATCTACAAAAGGGATTTGCAGAATTAATCAACAGAATGATTTGCAAGATTGATCTACAAAATGATCTACATGTATTACGTGATATTCTTGACATTGTTGACATTTTTGACATTAATAACATTATCAACATTGTTGACATAGTTAGTATAATAGATATAACTTATTTATTTTATATATTTTATTTATTGTAATATGTAGGGTTCCGCAATTCAATTTGATATTTGAATATTTGATTTGAAAATCAAATCAAATACAAATACAAATTTATATTTGATTCGATTCGATCAAATTCAAATCAAAGAATCATTTATTTGATCAAATCCAAATTAATCTTTGATTCGATTCGATCAAATTCAAATCAACTATTCAAATATTTGATCTGATTTGAATCAATAGTAAAACTATTTCAAAAGCTTCAGAGATGGTATTAACTAAGAAAAACATAGTAAAAAACGCCTTCGCAGCTCCAGAGACGTTTTTTTTACTAAGAAAATATAGTAAAAAAAGCATTTTCGAAGCTGTGAAGGTATTTTTTTACTATATTTTACTTAATAAAAAAAGCATTTTCGAAGCTGTGGAGGCGTTTTTTAATATGTTTTTCTTAATATAAATGCATCTATTACTAACTTACTTTATAAAAGCTATCTTTGAAATTTTTTAGTGCAATTAATGCTTTTCTTAATTAAAACTTTATTTTAATATATTATTATAATAATTAAAAAAAAAATTTATATTTGATTTGATTTGATTTGATTTGATCAAATTTAAATTTGAATTTGATTTGATTTGATTTGATTTGATTCGATTCGAAAAAATCAAATCAAATTCAAATTGCTTCAATATTTGATTTGATTTGATTTTAAGAAACCCTAATCAGAATTACTATTGATATTAATAACAGGACGGAAGGTATCTACTTTTACTCTTTTTTTACATGGAATAAAGGAAATAATTTGTTTTTCATATATATTATTATCAGAAATTGTTGGTGTTAGAAATCTTTCAATTGTCGAATGAGCTTATTTGATCGTTAAATGAGTTTATTTGATTAAAACTTAATTCACTGGTTCTCATACATCAGTGTAATTATGGACAAAGATGGTTCAACTTCCAGTGTAATTGCAGATGAATGTGGTTTATGAGCTTCCGGTATAATTGTAGGTGGTATAATTACATGTAAATTTGTTTTAACAATAGGATTCAAAGATGATACTGAATGTAATTTCAATTTTTTTTCATGTGCTTTTTTTATTCTTGCGTCAACTAACCTTCCATTACATTTGTCATAATAGCAGTGAGCTTTTGTACTACACTTTCTCATTATAATTTCTAAGGTTTCTACAGTTTCTATAAGCTTAAATTCTGATGACTTTAAATCATAATTGTTTATAACGCTTGAGGCAGTTCATTTTCTTGATGATATGTTAACTTTGATTTTGGAAGAAATTTATTTAATACCAATAAATATAAAATAAAATTTCAAACTTTTTTATGGATGAATATATTTAACTATTTATTGATGAATTTAAGTAAAATCTATTTTTAAATTTACTGATAAATATAAGTAAAATATATTATTTTTGAATTTATTGATTAAATCTATTTTTAATTTTACTTTTTTGAATTTACTGATGAATATAAACTATATACGAAAAAATCAATAGTAAAAAAAACTATAAAATAATTGAATTTTCTTATCAAATGAATAAATAATTCTTTCTTTCTTCTCTCTAAAAAAATAAAAAAATAAAATAAAATAAAATAAAATAAAATATTGTTGTCTTTTATTTTTATTTTTTAAAAAAATTAATGCTTTATCTTTTATTTATCAATACATTATGTCCAAACAAAATAGTCAAATTTCATCTCAATCCTCCCAAACAAATAGTCGTATCTCTTCTCAATCATCTCAATTATCTCAACATTCTTTTTGATCTCATTCTCCAACTAACCAACCTTCTTTTCAACCTTCTTTTCAACAAAATCAACTTCAAACCTCTCTTTCAACCCAACCTTTCCAACAAGTTCTACCTCAACATAATCAACCTCAACAAACTCAACTTCAACAAACTTCGACCCAACTTCAATCTCAACTTCAATAAACTCAACTTCAACAAAATCAACATCAAAAAACCTCGATCCAACTTCAACATCAATCAAATGATATTCAAACAATATTAAGAGCTAGTAATATTAATAAATGGTACTCTAACATTAGGATACCAAAATCATACACAAACCCTACTACAAACTCTATTACAAGTAGTAATACTAATATTTCTCGTTGTATGAGTTCAAAGGAAGTAGAAAGTGATAAATATTTCAAATTAGTTAAAATTATCAATTATATCTCTCTTTCAATACAAATATTTTGAACAGGTAAAATTGACAAGCTAAAAAAAGAAAATGCTCGATTCTCATATGCTTTATAGTAATAATACTAGCATAAAATCTTTATATGTCTAAACTTCATTGCTACTCTAAATAGATCATCTATATTCTGTGCCATAACTTCACTAGATCCCATTAGAATTGCTTCTAAAGAGAATTCAGGAATCTGAATATCAAACGTCTTATTAATCTTACCATTACCAACTTCAGTGAAGAATAGCTTACATCTCAAATCTTGCTCCACTTTTTGATTATAAGAAATTTTTTGACACTCTGTCTGTATTTTCAGAAGCCAGAGCCTGTTTGTTCACCATAAATGATTTTACTAGCGATGTTTCAGCAAATGATTTGTTACCAGAGGTAACTGACTTACAGGCTGGAATCGATTCTTTGACTACCCATTTTAGAAGAGTTACAAGTTCAGCACTAGTCATCCCTATAAGAAATCGAAATAAGGAAATGATACGTTTTTTATAAGGTTTGTATACGTAATTAATGATTCTATAT